GGCGCGAGTATGACCGCCGTGACGGCACTGGCCGCGGGTGAGCGGGCAGCTAGTGCGGCGCGCGCTCGTGGCAGTGACACTCCATGAGAGTGTGCCATTTGTACAGATGCACAGCAGCGTGAGCTGCGCCCGCCGCTGCACGCATCAAACCCACCATTCAGCCTGCTGACAGAAACACACGCCCCCTTGTGCTTGCAGCAACGAGACCGAGAAGCGCGGCGGTGGCGGCAGGGGCAACTGGGGCACGGACGCTGACGCGTGAGTCACCCCGGCAGGAGCAGCCATGAACCCAGTGAGGCGGCGCCACCCGCCACACAATGCGTTTTCACTCCCTGGCCACCCCACGCGTCGCACGCCGGCGCCCTTGCTTGCACCCTAGCCACTGCCGCTGCCCACCCCCTCGCAGCGAGGCCGCCGCCACCGAGCCGACCCCCGTGGAGGAGGCCGAGGCGCGCCCCGAGGGCGAGGAGCCCGCTGCGGCCGAGCCCGCCGAGGAGCCCACCCCCCCGGAGCCCGAGGTCAAGGTGCGCGGGGTGCACGCGCGGCACTCCCTCCCCGGGCCGCGGTGTTGGGCAGAGCAGTGCGTTCAAGCAACGCGGCACTCGGGCTGCAGCAGCTCCAGCATGCATTTCGCCTGCATGTCTGAGGCCGCCTGCACACCGCCGTGTCGTGCGCGGCGCCATATCGACGAGCCTCACTGCTCACCGTCCCCCCTCCCTCCGCCCTCCTCCACCCGTCCACCCACCCCTGCATGAACTCCCCCAGGAGATGAGCCTTGAGGAGTACGAGGCGCTGGTGGCCGAGAAGAAGGCGGCCCTCAACAAGGCGCGCGGGGAGCGCAAGGTGGACGCGAGCGAGTTCAGCGGCCTCAAGGCCGTCACCAAGCCCGAGGAGGAGGTGCTGCAGATCAACGCCAAGGAGAAGAAGGTGGGGGGGGGACCGCGGAAAGCATGCGCGAGGGGGAGCGGTGATGCGAGGCGTGTCTGGCCGGCGCTTTGCGCGGGACGTCTCCTTGTGCGCATCAGTGTGCGGACGGCCGCGCAGGGCGTGTCCCTGGGCCTGTGCCGGTGCACTTGGCGCATGACCGCGCCCCGCATGACTGCAGCGCCCCCAGCCAGGCCCCAGGCCCCTCACCTGCCCCTCACCGCGCCGCTGTTGTCCTCAGGTGCGCGCCAAGGAGCGCAAGGTGGCCGAGGTGCTGCAGACCGGCTTCAAGATCGAGACCAACGAGCCCCGCGGCGAGAGCGGCGGCCGCGGCCGCGGCCGCGGCGGCGGCCGCTTTGGCGACCGCGAGGGTGGCGGCCGCGGCCGCTACGGCGACCGCGAGGGTGGGCGC